AGTTACATGGGTAAATCTTGACTTTCATAATGTGCATTTGGTAGTCAAATAATTAGTTACCCAGGGGTAGAAATTCTAGAGTAGTTTAATGTTTTCCTTCATAAATTGTGTTATCTGATCTTAATGCAGCATTAGAACTGAAATTGTACTTTTATATATATTTTTATACAGAAAAGATAGAATTAAACAGCAATTAACTAGGAATTAATTATTCTTCTTAACTATTTGAACTCTAGTTTAAAAGCCTAAACTTCTTTGAAATGTTGTTATTTTAATAGAATTCAGCATCTGGATAATGATTTTACCATCTTAATGAACACTATCCCAGAGATATGTGAAGCTAATAGGAATGAAATGACTACTTAATGTGACCTAGAATATTTACATGTGACCCTGAGAGTTACATCAACTTCAGTGGCATAAAAGCTGACATAATAAAAGTTGACTTAATTTATAAATTTCAGTGAAAATACTCAGATCTCCAAATCTCAGCCTCAGGCCAACTTTTCACAAGATATACTTACAAGGCCAGAGGAATAAAGGTATGCCACTACCTAGTCATAAGTGAGGAGAATTCCAAGGCCTATAGACTAAATAAACACTGGGGCCAATAGATTTGTAATTACTTCAAGCTAAAAATGACTACAGCTGGGTTGTACTAAAACCTGTGTGTATGGGATTGACTGGGGAAAGGAGTGCTTAAAACCTGAAGTTACGAATTTTATTAGTTTTTGTTTATGTATTCATTTAGCAAAACTAAACCAATGATATTGGGCATACAAAAAAGAAAGATTACAAACAGTTCCTTGGAAATAGTGCCCCTAATGAAGTCTCAAAATCAAATCCCAGTCCCAGAGCTTAAGTCCATTTCTCCGCTGACAATAATAGAGTAATAATAGGCATTTGTAAGATACACAGAGAGCTAAGTTAAGATGGTCTAGAGCTGATCTGCTCTTAATTTGCCCAGCAAGTGACATTTGCCCATGAACTCACCTTTTCCCCTTAGATACAGACCACTGGATTGGAAATCAGCTGACCTGCTTCCAACTTCACCGTTCACCAGCTGGTGACATCTTGGGCAAGTTACTTAATCTCTCTGATTCTCAGCCTCTTCATATATAAAACAGGAATATTAATGCATTTCAAGCTAACATAGATTATGTCATAAAGGTGTATACTATGTCATTACACGTATTCATAGAACTTATTTATTTCATCCAGAATAAAATCGCTTAGACTTCCACACATAATTTAAAATCTAATAAGGAAAATAATTTAGAGGGGAAAAAAAAACCAGGGAGTTGTTAGCCCCTTTCTTCTTTCCTAGCACTCTGTACAAACCTCCATTATAGCATTTGGTCATTTTTAATGAATTACTTACAGATTCAGTTCCCTGAAAGCAGAGATCTTATCTGACAAACTTTCCCCCCCTTCTCCAGCAAGTTCTTGACACTGAGGCACATTCTACATAATGAAAAATTGAACACCTGGAATGAAGGTATTCACTCCCACCTACTAAAGAACTAGAGGTGGTCATTGAGGTGTTTGACCCCTAGTCCTATGGACGTGGATCATGACTTGTGTGAAGACCACCTCTCAAGACACAATTCCACCCCTTTAGTGCGAGAGTCCATCCACTTGCTGGGACAGCCCCTTTTTCTCCAATACAGAATCATTCTTTGTTTCTAGGGTCTAATTTAGTAATGACTGTCCTCTTGAGTTTTTTTTTTCCTCTTAATCAATATCTTTACTTTTTCTTCCTAATGTCTTTCTATAACCACAGGAAGCTATTTTGTATCAATCATTTTCTTTTTCCTTAGAGGCAGACCATTTGTTTAGTGGAAGATGGTGTTCCAGAGACAAAATTAGTATTCACATCAGACTAATGAAACGCATCAATTATCTAGAAGGGCAGATTCCTTGAGGGACAGTGTATTAGAATAATCAAAACAACCCTGAGGTAGAAGAGGGGGAACTTGGGCTTTGTCCAGAGGCCTTTGTCCAAGGTATCTTGGGCAGATAACTTAAGTTCTTCCTATGTCAGCCTCCAGTAAAACCAATGGTGAAGATGAGATGATTTCTGAGCCCTCTTCCATGTCTGATATTCAGAATTAAAGGTATATTTTGTGGCACCAAAAAACTGAATTTTCTTTATATTGAGAATAGTTTATGGCAGGGTAAAAAGAAAATTGGCTCTGCATTAGGATCAAAAATAGATCTGCATGATCTTGAAATAAACGAATGTGAAAAAAGTGTGAGTGAATCTGATTCTGTGTAACTGTGAGCCTCATTGTTGGTGGACAGCTAAGCCAACCCTATTAAGGAAATTTGTAAGATGGCTAAAGAAACTGGACTAATTGAAGAGTCCAAAATGAGTGAGTATCCTAATCACATGCTTCAATTGTTATTAAAATCATAACCATGTACCATTCTTTCTCAACATCACATAGAATAGCCACTAATGTCATTCTCCTGTGCCAACTAAAGCATTAAGAAAGAATGCTGCTGCTAGAGATTTGTTTTACTTGGGATAGCAAACTCACGAATCATTCATTCATTCCTTAATGAACACTGAGAACCTACTGTGTGCAAGACACTGTATATGATACTGAATGGACCAGACATATAACCAGACATATGCCTATTCATTGGAAGTTCACACACAAATACTCTCTCACATATGCTCATACAACTAAAACAAACAGTAGGAAGCAATAAATAAGCACCATGGAAGAGATGCACATTAAGTACTCAGAGAAGGGAGATATCGCAAGTGAGGGCTTAAAGCAAAACTTTTGTGGAGCAAAAAGCATATAAATTTAGTATTGAGAGCGGGGTTAGATTTGGACCTGTGGAAATGATAAGAAATCGCAAAGGCAAACCAAGAGAGGCTACAAATCATGGCACATGTGAGCACAAAATTCACGCCAGTTATAACATCTAACTCTTACCAAATGTTAGCTATGTACAAGAATGTTACATACATGGTCTCAGTGAATCCTTGTGACTCTAAGAGATTGGTTTTATTTGCATGCTTATTTTCAGATGGAAAAACTAAGGCCCAGAAAGAAAGGGTGCATTGCCCAAGCTCTCCCATCAAATGAAATAGCAGGTGGTTTAGGATTGCTGAAGTCTGTGGTTGAGGCAGAGAGGAAAAAAAAATATAACCTGAAAGGTTTGCTGTGGCTAGATGATAAACAGGCTAGAATGCTAGACTCAGTAAATCAAACTTAAGAGGAAGATGAATGAACTAAATAGGGAGTAAAAGGTAACAACTTTCCATATATTAAAAGAAACAAACTATGCTCTATATATTAATTAAAATGATCAAAAACCAGCACTCCTTTAGCATGTTGAAGCACAGAATGGCAGTTGCATCTGGAAGGGATATGAGTCTCCTTGCTAATACAACACTGTACTTATGAAGGTGGGAAAACTGAAACTAAAAATTAACTAACCCTGATCAAATGTTCCATTTAATTTAAGTTTTAAATAAAGATTAAATATGTACGTGGGCTCATGCCTGCATAATTCTTGCCTGTTACTTCCATACTACTATTGGGAACTGACAACTGAAGATAATACTAAAAACTTAAAGCCCCCTGGCACTTGTACAATCTATGCACTGCTCAGAAAACAATTAAGTTGTGTTCTGTTCTGTGCTTTAATCATAATAATGTGATTCTATTGCTCCACTGAGTTGGTTGGTAACCACATGTACATAAGGCATCTAACACAGACAGATCGCCTAAGTGGACACTCATTAATTCTCTCCTGAATGTACTGTAAATAAAAGATGCACCAGAATCTCAAAGGATGTTCTGTTTTCATAGAGATTAGGAAGGTAGCTTGCATTTCCCCCTGTTTGATCAGCTGTTCAGGAATTAACTTTCACAAGCCATGTTCATTTTAAAACTGTGTTTTATCTAACACAAATATTTTCTATAATATATGAAGTTCCTCTTAGATGTTTATATGCTGCCATCAGTAAGAGCCTACTATGGAGAACTATACTGAATTTATGTATTATACTTGGTTTATTATTCTAGCTGCTATTCAGAAATACAGGTGACAGTTAAAACACACATCCCTAAAGGGACATCTATTTAAGGTCTCTGTGAGTTAAATTAGCTATCTTTTTATCTCTAGCTCAGTAACCGTTAGTATTTTATTATAAGGCTAATAATAATAGCTAGCATGTACTGAATATGTTATTATTGTTTGCATTTTTATCTGACTCATTTTGATAAAATCAAAAGAAGACTTGAAATCTCTCCTTCAGTTATTCTGGGATTATGATACTGCGCTCCGGTAGTTTGAACAGTATAGCTTTCATAGAGGTGACTCAACACACTTTTTTTTTTTGCAACCTGTAGTATTCTCATGCTGTAATTTTATAATAAAAGTGATATTTCCCCCTGAAAAATAATTGTAGGAGCTTATTTTTAAAGAGGCAGTCATTTAAACTTGTTCAGTTACAGAGAGAGTTGTCAAAGAAGATATAAAAGCAGTGGCGTTTCTTCAGATAAATCTTCACAAATCAGAAACAAATTTTAAAGGCTCAGAACTTTATTTGAGCTATTTAAGCTAACTTCTCTCCTCCAACTTCTAAATTACTTTTTCCTTCCATTTTTCATATGTTATATATTTTACATATCATCTTGGTAAATAGTTGGACATTTTAGCCTGCCTACCCATCAATACTAATATTCATTTCCACATGTAATTTAAGTGTATTTAATATATTATTGATGTTTGTGGCGGCCCCTTCTTATAATTATCACTGAATTAGAATTATTCATAGAATTATTTGAATGTATTTACATTTGAAATGACCCAATCTATAAGAGTTACCACTTAAAACATAACCTCTATTACCACAAGGAATTTTAAATAGTGTGTCTGTGAGATTTGGAGTGCATATCTCAAATAACTCAAAATCACAACTGAAGTTAATCATGTGTCATTGAACAGAAAGCTTTACTCAATAAGAAATCAAATTCTTGCTTTTCATAATTTCACCATAATTTTATTTTGTATTTACAGTCTTCAATTTCTAATGCAAGGGTTTTTATGAGTATTGAAGGGATTAGGGAAGAGAAATACAGTTTGGAGGCAAGGGATCAGAGGTCATATATAGGCAATGATAATTAACACAGCTAACAGGATGTGAAAGTCTTCCAGAAGAAATTCTTGCAGCCAGCTTTGCGTTCTCGGGGTGCCATGGCTGGGTTTGAGTTAGCAGATCTCTGCAGCTCCAGCCTCATTTCATCCTGCTCAGCAGCCTGGGTCAAATCTTCAGGTTCCAGGGCATCATTCTCTGTCTGGTTGGGTTCAGACAGCAGCTCTGCCAAGAAGTACTTGGCCAGCTCCTATACAGGGTGGGAGGGAGGAAGAGATAGAAAGAATGAGGATGATAATGGAGAAGGAGAAAAGGAAAAACCTACTTTGGAAAGCAGATTCAGCCACACCCAAAACCCATTTTTCACAGCGGTGCACTTTTGTCACTTAAAATAAGTTAAGGATATAAAAATAAGGTTAATTACTATAATCATCAAGTTACACAAAGAAGCTTGAAAAACTTAAATGTTTCTGCAAGTTTTCTATCTCTGTAGGCTTAACACAGATGCATAGAGAGAAATAACAGATCGTCAGAGCAGTTTTGCAAGATAAGAAACATATGACAACCGTTTAACGCAATTCCCACCTCATGAGCTACAAAGCGGAGTTGTTCTTACCGTTTTTCCTAAGTCACCTGTGGGAAACGAGATCTTTCACAATCTTAAAACATATTGTGTTCCATAGATTGCCCTTCAGCCCTCCGTCCCGCTGCAGGGGAGGGAGGTAGCAGCTGCAGAGGTGTGCGCTTTCAGCACCTGGGTCAGCACCTCCCATGATCAGCACAGGGAATAGATGCCATCATCCCTTGTTCAATTACCCAGGTCTGGGGATGTTTGTGAATGCCCAAGAGCTCACCTGAACTGTGACGGACTGATTAGGGGGGAAAAATAGGTGAATGGGGATTCCGGACTTTGAAAGTTTTCCTGAGAGGTTTTGGGAGCTGAGGGACCCAGAAAAGCACCGAACTCTTCAGGAGCAACTCTATAATCCACCCAAGGGGGAAAGGGCAAGGCGAAGGGAAGGTTAGGAATTTAGGAGAGGAGAAAGACAACGTCGAGGGAGTCTCCTTACCTGCTTCCCTGCCGCAGCAGCCAGGGATTTCTGCAGAAACTGACGGAGTCGGGGATCCGAGGGCGCGCCGGTGACACCGCCCAGAGCCAGGCAGATGGAGAGCGCAGCCAGCGCGCACTGGAGGCGGCAGGACAGCATCGCAGCGGCTCCGGGAAACCGAGCGAGAGGGCGGGTGGTCAAACTCTACGAGCGGGTCCGCAGGCAGCAGCGAGGGCTCTGAACCTTGCGACTCCTAAAGCGGCTTGTGTGCTCTCCACCGTCTCCCCGCTTTTAAACTCTCTCTCTGACGTCAGATGAGGAGGTGCCCCCAGATCTCACTAGCGCTTTTACGCACCATTACCCTCGTGAAATTAATCACAGAAGTGAGAGGAGGCTACACAATCTAAAGTGGCTTACTTAAAAAAAAAATCCTGCACACGCACAGGCCCATACAATTCCGCACATGCCACTAGCTACACAATCTTTGATATTCACTCAGTACTGCGCATATACACATTCCATAATCTCACTTGCACACATGCACATGTGCACTCAATTACACACAGAAGCTCAAACACTCAGCCCTAAGAGACAAGTGCACTACCACACACAGTGGCACACACATAACTGTATCCAGACAACGCTATCATCATACTCAAATATGCTAGGGGGGCCAAACAAACGCAACGGTATATGTATGTGACAAGCAGAGATTCAGAATTATCCCTCTAGGAACACATTTGAAAATGGAATGTAGATGTTAGAAGGATTGAATCATCTCTTTCTCCATTGTTTCTGTACAAAGTCTGGCAGATGAAGATGTAATGGGCTCCGAAAGAACTTCCCTTTCCCTACAATGGAGGAGAAGGTACCTTAGGCTCACCCTCCTTCCTTATTTCTCAGCAGCTGAGAAACTTCTAGTCTACCTGTCTTCCTATTGGGACATAAAAACAAAACAAAAGCCAAGATTGACTTCATTTTGCTGCCTAGAAACTTGAAGCTGGAGAGCAATCTCAGAAACTATCTACTAAACCTCAGTGTTTGAGCCACTAACCCTAGAAATGGGCCATAAAATGATCTGGGTCACACACTGCCCATTTGGAACAAGGACCTGACCTCCACATTCCAAGGCCAGGGTTCTTTTCACTCAACTCTGAGCTTTCTAACAGATTCTTGTCTAGTAGCAGCAGTGATAAGTCAGGGACCCCCAGTTTGGACCTGCAAAAGTCCAGGGGCCCCTGCACATTTGTGACCATTATTGTGTGTCTGTTTGTGGAGAAAGGACCAACAGACACTTAGACCCAGCACTCCCCGGCTTCACACACACATAAAAAGGAACTTTAAGAAATGCTGTTTTAGAATTCCAGCTGTGGTCTGGTTAAATGTTTGCTGTCCAGATCAGAGTTCTGCAGGTTTGGTTTTGTTTTCCCTCCCCCCCACAAAAATAATTTCTTATCAAGGAAGGGCCAGCTAATGTCCTGGCATGGACCAGATGATCCCCACAGGCTCTTCGAGGGCAGACATTTTATGACCTGTAAGCTCATAAAAAGCCAAAAAATATATGTATGTTTCCAGAAACCAAATGAAGCAAAGACCTTGGCCAATCCTGTCACCAGCCATGTGTCATGTCTGTATTCTCAACACTTAGACCAAAACTATAATGTTAAGAGGCAGGAGAGGTTGGGGTGGGGTGGGGGTCTCTTGAAAGGCGTGGATAATTGTCAGCATTTCCTTTTGTGTCTGTGAGACAAGGCTATGAGAGAATGCCCAGGAAGGAGGGCTAGAGCTACTTCCAGGGCTTGGCAAGGCCAGGCAAGGCTAAGCCCAGCGGGGCATTAAAACTCACTCACATGTGCTAAATAGTCTGGGAGAGCAATGAATCTGGGGCTGACAAACCCAACCCTGGGGAATACATATTAGTTTCTCTAAATATTTTGGAAGCTCCTTGGCTCCTGACTGGGGATTCAGAGTCTAGTTCTATCAGTCCCACTGCCCCAAGGCACCCGCAAGTGATCTCACTTCTTCTCCACCCAGGGCTTGGCCTTAGGCCGCACTGAGGAGGGAAGGAGAATTTTCCTAAAACAGCAGCCAGCCAAAGAGCAAGTAGCAGCCCCTCATCTTGCTCTGTGCTCGGGGATCTCTTCAGCCTCCCTCCCTGGACTCCTGCTGCTCTCCACCCACATCTTCCTCCTCTCTCCTTTTTTCCTTTCCCTAGCCTTTCTCCCAGTTTCTCTCTCAGACGCTCCCTATTCAATCCTTCTTTTGTCTTCTCTCTCCATTTTCTGTCCTGTTCCTCTTTGTTGTTCCTCCCTCTCCCCAGTCGTTTTCTGGCTTCAGCCTTGTTCCATCCGGCTCTTTTCCTGCCCTCTCTGCATTTCTCCTCCCCTCCGCACCCTGGTTAGCCAATACCTGTATCAGTCTCTGCCTCCAGTCTCTCCCTCTCATCTCTCTCCTTCTCAGCTGCTTCTCACACACACACAAAAAACAACTCAGGGTCTCTAGCTATTTAAGTACCTACTTGGAAGTAGTGGAGCCTGGGTTGCTTCCTTCTCTGCTGAAGTGCTGAGGCTGTGGACGAGATGACTTTTGGGTTTTGTTTTTGTTTTGTTTTGTAATCCCTGCATTGCTAGGAGTCTAAGAACCACTTAAGAGAAGAAGAGCCAGGACAAAAGGGGAAGTACATTCTTCCTTAAACCCCCACAAGGCCAAGTTTTGCATAAAGGTAGATTTAGCACAAAGACACTTCAAATTTTCCCAGCCCAATCTCTCTGCAGACAACTCCCTGGGCCTCTCTTCCGAGTCCCAATGACTGGGAGCGGGAGGTGGTTTGTGATTGTACTGGGGGCCCTATTTCATAGACTTGGGTCACCAGGAATCACCTCCCCGCATTCTTATGCAGCCCCAGTGGTTCACAAGGCACTCCCCCATCCACACATCAGAGCATGAGGAGGAAATTGAAGTCCTGGGAGCATATGTGCCTTGCACTAGGGCACACAGGAGGCAGGAAGTGGCGAGATCAGAAGGCGATGCTCCTCCACTGAAGAGCCTTTCACCCTCCCCTGACTCAGCGGATGCTAGAGATACCTAGCAGAACAGCCTGCAGCCAGGATACAAGTGTCTCTAGGAGGCACCCAGGCCTCTTTCATGTGCAGCAATTCTGGCCAGGATAGGATTTCCCATCTCCCTCTGAGATGTACATTTGGCGTTCTACCTGCCAATATGGAAATAGTAAATGAGAAACAGTAAAATCTTTGAGCAACCATATAGGTGTTCAATAGTAAGCAATGCAAGGGAGTAGAAAGTATCTGTACGAGAGCTGCATGACCTGGGTTCTAGTTCCAGTTCTGCCACAATGCAGTTGTGGGGCCTCTTCTCTGGGCCTTGGTTTCCTCATCTGAAAAGCAAAGGCTTGATCGGTAAACTTTGTTGTTTCTTCCAGCCCTGATAATCAAAGAGTTTCAATTTGAGGAAAACAAAGTGCAAACTAGAGTGTATTTTAATAGTAAAATGCTGTTTTTTTTTCTCAAAATGACGATTTTAAATGTGAAAAGAACCTGGCTTCAAGTGATATGAAGGAGGAGACAGGTGCAGTGGGACATTTCACAGTCCTGTTAGAAAGAAAACTTGCTCTTTGAACTTGCTTCTGCTGCTGACCTGCCCTCCCCACATGGGGACTCAGTTTCTCCATCTGTAAAATTGATTCACTCAAATTTTTTTCTACAAATAAAGACTGAGAATCTATACTGCTTGAGAGGTCAATGATAGAGCAGTGAACTAGATAGAAAAAGTCTCAGTGAGGAAGGCAATAAAGACACAAATTCATCGATTAATTAATTATGTTCAAATCAATAAGGATTAAAGCAAGGTATGGAGCATAGTGGTTAGGAGAAGAGCCTTCTAAGGCGGAACTATTTGAGCAGAGACCTGAATGAGGTGAGGAAGCTAGCCATGCAAATATCTGAATAAACATATTTCCTTGTCAAGTAGAAAGATAATGTGTGCAGGTGCCCTGAGGTGGAAGTAGGCTCGGTACATTCAAACATCAGCAACGAGGCAAGAGAACCAGAACAAATTGGGTGAATCAGCGAAAGCTAGGAGATGAGGCCAGAGAGGCAGCAAGGGGCCAGCCCACATAGAGCCTTGAAGGCCATTTATGCTAAAGAAACCATTGCAGGATTTTAAACAAGGGATTGAACAGATTCAATTTGTCTAAGTAATGCTTCCTGCTAAGTAGAGAGCTAACGGTAGGAGGGCAGGAGTAGAAGAAGAGAGATAACGAAGAGTCTAATAACCATTGAAGAGAAAAGAGGAGACAGGACGAAAGGGACACATCCTCCTTTAAAAACCCATGGCCCAGTTGGTTGGTTTAGCAGAAAGGCAGTTCATACCAAGCCTTCAGCAGCCAATCCCCAGGGCCTGTCTCCATGGAAGTGGAGATGGTTTGCGGTTATTACTGGGGACCTTATTCCCAGACTAGTGCAGGCAGGAGAAAATGGTGCTTTGGGCTGGGGTGGTAGCCTTGAAGGAGGTGAGTGCTGGTTAGGTTTGAAGTTTATTTTGAAACAGAGTTGACAGGACATTCTGATGGCATTTTGAAAATCAAGTTAAGGAAATGAGAGCAATTGGTAATATTTTCTAAAACGCCTTCAAGATCACAAATTCCTGAGAATGCAGGAAATAAATTTCTAAGAAATACTTACCCTGGACATTTTGCAAATGGAAAACCTTTTTATTTTCCAATCAGAAAAAAAGTAAGAATTATAGGCAGTGGTGAGACGAAACATGAAATAATGGAAAGAGCCTTGGACTGGAGGTCTAAGGCCTTAGACCTAAGTGTTCAGTTTTTTTCCTCCTTAAAATGGGCCTGATAATTCTTGCTTTTGCTAAAATATGATTCAAGAACCATATCAAACAGTGAAAGTGGAAGTGCTTGGTAACCCATAAAAAAATGATAAAAATCGAATGGCCTGTTTTTGTTGCTGCTGCTCAGATGGAGGCGGCCAGCCCCAAGCCAAGGGGTGATGTTCAATGAGCCAGCCTCTGGCAGCTGGAACGGGCGGGCAGACCTTCCTCACAGTGGGGACATGGAAGGTGTAATTTAGAGGTCCAGGAAGATCTCTTCCACAGAAATGCAGCAAATGGGTGCTGAAATGCATCCATTAAAAAAAACAAAACAAAACAAAACAAAACAATTTAGTGGTCGCTAGATGGTAAGGAAGGGGCAGGTGGTAGAAGAGGGTGAAGAGAGTCAAATACATGGTGATGGAAGAAGAACTGACTTT